TGGAACAGGAGGAAATATTTGCTAGCTACTCTTCTGACAAGGATTAATATCCAGAATACATAAAGAACTCAAAAAACTGAACACAAAAAGAAACCAAATAATCCAATTAATAAATGGGCAAATGAACTAAACAGACATTTCTCAAAAGGAGAAATACAAATGGCCAACAAATATATGAAAAAATATTCAACATATTTAGCAATTATGGAAACACAAATCAAAACTTTACTGAGATTTCATGTCATGCCAATCAGAATAGCAGTCATCAAGAATACAAGCAATAGGGCTGGGGATGTGGCTCAAGCGGTAGCGCGCTCGCCTGCCATGCGTGCGGCCCGGGTTCGATCCTCAGCACCACATACCAACAAAGATGTTGTGTCCGCCGAGAACTAAAAAATAAATATTAAAAATTCTCTCTCTCTCTCTCTCTCTCTCTCTCTCTCTCTCTCTCTCTTTAAAAAAAAATGAAAAAAAAAGAATACAAGCAATAATAAATGCTGGAAGGGATATAGGGAAAAGGAGCACTTTTATACTGTTGAGAGGACTGCAAATTAGTACAACCGGTACAGAAATCAGTATATAAAGGTTCCTCAAAACACTAAGAGTGAAACTACCTTATGATTCAGCTATACCACTCCTTGGTATTTAACATAAAGAATTAAAGTCATACTATATTGATACATGTATACCCATGTTTATACCAGAACAATTCATAATAGCCAAATTATGGAACCAGTTTAGGTGTTCACCAAGAAATGAATGGCTAAAGAAAACATGGTATATATACAAAATGGAGTTTTATTCAGTCATATAGAAGAATGAGCCAAGCACAGGGACACACGTCTGTAACCTCAGCAGCTCAGGAGGCAGAGGCAGGAGTATCACGAGTTCAAAGCCAGCCTCAGCAAAAGTGAGGTGCTAAGCAACTCAGTGAGACCCTGTCTCTAAATAAAATACAAAATAGATCTGGGGATGTGGCTCAGTGGCCAAGTGCCCCTGAGTTCAATCCCTGGTTAACCCCCCCACAGCCACTGCCAAAAAAAAAAAAGAATGAAATTATGTCATTTGCAGGGAAATGGATGGAACTTGAGAACATTATGGTTAAGCTAAGTAAGCCAAACTCCAAAAGCTAAGAGTCATATCTTTTCATTCATATGTGGAAGCTAGAGAGGAAAATAAGAAAGAAATGTGGAAAGGGTGGATCTCATGAAAATCAAAGGGAGATCAGAAGAGAAAGTGGTGTCGGGTAATAGGTAAATACTATGGAACAATCAAATTAGACTTTTATATTGGGTGCCTGGATGATTATGTAACAACAAATCCCACTATTGTATATATTAACAATGCACCAATAAAAATATGGAAAAAACAAATATTTGGAATTCAGAGAAGGGAAAAATCACAGTGGAATAGAATGGTTAGAGAAGGAGTTATAAAAGAGGTAAAATCTAAGTAGAACTTTAAGCAATAAGTATTAAGAGGGTAGAAAAGTTGGAAAGACCCACCATGTTCATAGCAGCTTTATTCACAATATCTAAGAATAAGATAGAGAACAATAAGATAGAGAACAATCTAAATGTCTATCAACAACAGATGAATGGGCAAAGAAAACATGGTATATACATATAATGGGATATTATTCATCYTCAAAAAGAGGGAAGTCCTGCATGGACAACAATGTAGATGAACCTAGAAGACATGCCAAGTGAAATAAGCTAGTCACTGAAGAACAAATACTGCATAATTCTACTTATATGAAGTATCTAAACTAAACACACACAGAAGCAGGAAGTAGAAGGAGGGAAAAATGGATAAAAGTTATGTTATTCATCTACAAGATGAATAAGTTCTAGAGACCTACTGTACAACATACAGTAGGGCCTATAGTTAAGAAAACTATATTGTGCATTATAAAATATGTCAAGAACCAGCACACCTGAAATTCTAGTGACTCAGGAGGTTGAGGAAAGAAGATGGAAAGTTGAAGGCCAGCCTCAGCAACTTAGCAAGACCTTGTCTCAAAAGTAAAATTTTAAAAAGGGCTGGAGAGTGACTCAGTAGTTAAGCACCCCTGGATTCAATTCCCAGTACCACAAAATATGTTTAAATATATTAAGATAACCTCATGCTAAGTTAATTACAAAAATAAAAAAACATCCCACAGAATAACACAAGGAAATTTTTGGAGGTGATGGATATGTTTACTGCCTTGTTTGTAATGATGATATCATGAGTATGTATACACTAAATATGTGTTACTTTTTGTACTGATATACTTTTTGTACTTATTTTCTACCTCAATAATCCTTTAAAAAGTCCAATATGAAGTACACTTAGTATACATGTTTCTTTATTTCAACAATAATAATAATTCATGATCAATAGACATCTTCTGCATACTAAATATGTACTTAATATTTATTATTACATTTAAATTTTGTTAAACTAATGTTGACATCATAAATCACATTTTACAAATGAAAATATTAAATGTAAGTAACAGAGGGAATTTAAACAAATGTATTCTTAGTCACTATACTAACATCTTCTGCAGGATCTCCTTGCCCTAGAATTTTTCATATGAGTTTTTCTGTAGCATATTACATAAGAGGTTTTGTTTGTTGTTCATTTTTGCTGTACTCTGGATGCAAGCATGTTATAGCTTTTTATCAGCACTCTGGTTGTTCTTCATATAGGTACAGTCATGACCAACATTATTTGTCAGCTGCAGTTATTGCCTCAACAACTGTAATGACTAGAAGAAATTAATTTTATACTAATTTCCAATTTTCTTATAATTAAAATATGATTCATAGAATTTATTAGGATACTTATCAACTTTCCCAAAAACATACAGCAAAATGAAACCAACTCCAACTGATTGCAACAGTCATTATTACTGTATCAATGCACAGTAGCTCACATAAAGTGAGAGAAAAAAATTGGAAAGGTAAGTTGAAATGTTAATTTAACTGTCTAATTACAGAGAGTAAATTTTACATGATAGCCTTAAGATCCTTAAAAAGTTTGTGAGTAGGGCAGCGAAGTGCTGAAACCAGTATTTAAGAAAACTTTGCTGTTGGTATGCAAGATATCGGAAGAGAAAAAAAAATACCAGGTAAACATCTGAAAATGAAGAATACAGGAGTAAGCATGAAGGACTTTTGAAGATAAGAAGAAGCAATATCAACTATGATCTATTGGATATTTTGCTTAAGAGCAAAGTAGAACATATGAATCCTACCAAAACAACTTCATCACTATTCCATAATCATGCTCATAACTTGTAAAAGATACACATACTATCATTCCCCATTTTAGCAGTCTCATGGATTCAGCATCAATTTCCATACAGAGGAAATGCTTACCATTGGGTCTCTCCTTTAACTATTCTTGGAGTTCATACCACTTCCTCCAACACACACACACACAAACACACACACACATACACACACACACACACTTCAGTGTCCTTGTGGCCCCATGTTTCAAGCAGTTTCTCCCACAAAAAGGACAGTCAACACATGTATTAAGCATCCGCTGTTTGGCAACTGTTTGTTACATATTCATCATCTCAGTGAATTTTCAAGACAAACCTGTGGCTATAAATTATTAGCCTTATATTATGAAAAAAGAAACCATGGCTCACAGAGACTAAGGAASTTGATCAAGCAACAGAGTTTGGGGCGAGTGGGGAGAATAACACTTTTATTTCAATAATATCTTACTGTTTACAAAACACACTGATATTATTTCTTTGCATCCTAAAGATAATTTTGTTATAAGTGGGAGAAATGGTTTTCCAAGGACAGTTTATTAGATAAACATTATTTGAAGCTATTAGACCTGTACTTGGTTATGGAGATGTCTTTCTTCCAAAATACCAGTTTCCTCCATATTCCCTATAATTGGCAAGATCTCTACTTCCCTAGAGTGTACTGAGTCATCCCTTCTTTAGAAACTGTTCCTTCTGTGCTTAACCCTACCATGTGTTAAATCACACCTTTGGAAAGACTAAGAGGGGCAGAGATGTAACAAAAGCAGATGATTTTCTATCTATAGCTACAATATTTTTATCTATTCATGGAGAAAAACCCATCCATGTTGATGTTAACCTTTCAAGGGACCCAAATTTGCCTTATTAATCTGRCTTGATACCAATGCCTAGAAATGGATTTATCTAAAGAGTGAAGTGAGAGTTGTGCCCATTTATCTCATTGGTGCATGGAGAATCTTCTGAATCTTGCTCCCCTCCCCACAAAGAATATGCACTCAAAGCCTTACCCAAAGTGATTATTGCAGAAGGTTGAATTAAAATGTCTTACAAAAGCTTGATTTTCTCTAATCAGTTAYCTTTGGATATGAAAATACCTGGAAAATTCTGTGGGAAAAAAAAACACAACACTTTCATTATCCATCTAATATTTTCACCTTCTCTTTCAAACCCAGAAAGATACTTTAGTGTTTACCTCGAGAGTGAATATCTGTTGGAGGGAAGGAAAGGAGTTACTTTTACCACAATAAACCTGAGTTTGAAACTCCTGAGATTGCTGGCACTGGGTCACTAGCTTTATCTACAGATAAATACTTGCACAAAACAGATAATGGCTTGTTTTGCAACTATTTTACGTATATTTCCCTCAACTCGCCAAAATGATTGTCTTTAAAACCTATGTCCGTTTTTCCCTTGCTGTTTTCCCTGTAATTCAGTTCTCTGAATAAACACAAGGGTTGAGTTACAATTAAAAATAATGAAACCCTACAGGGTCAATGTCCTTGCATGCAATAAAAGGGTGTGGGCTAATTGCAGGAGCAGAGATTTTTTTTTTCCTGCATTTTGCTTCACTTTGATTGGTGGACCACCACTTTAAATAAAGGTTTCTGATCTTCCCTGAATGAGAGGTACAGAGCAAGTCCTAGGCACAGTCCAGAAAAAAAATTTAATCTTCTTTCCTTAGAACTATCTTGATTAGCATCAACAGGCCCTGAGAACACAGTGAATGTCAGCATCTAAGGTAAAATGTGATTTTATGGTTTCCATATATTTCCTGTAAGTTCTTTTTTCCTATCTTCAGGCAACCTTTATAAAGAAGATTTATCTTCATTTGTCACTAGATGCTGAATAATAGCTTATTATAATCCATTAGCATGTTTCAGAGAAGACATAACTAATAACCATCCAGCTAAGCAAAAAAAAGACTTAACCTTAGACCTTTTCTTTTTACTATCTGTGATTATTAGTGACARTACCTAATTTAGAAAAGTATTAGGAGATAAGCAAATTTATTTATTATTCAGATCTCTACTCATGTAAGAGCAAAGAGCCTTTTGAGCTTACAGAATAAATTTAGAAAGATAATTCATTTTAGGAGGAAAAACTGAATTGGGGGACATATATTCGACTAAAGCCAAAAGAAATTAAAATATTCCATTTACTCTAATTTGACAAAGATAAGTTTTGGCATACTTATGTAGATAATCTAAACATCAAATGATATATCCCATAYATCTGCAAATAAAGGTTTATTGAAATTGCATTGTAAATGTATTTCAAAATTTGTCCCAAAGTTTAAGCAAACTATAGTTTTCTGTTAATAGTACTTGATAGACCAAGATTTCACATACTGGAAGGGATTTATTTATGATTTGTTTTATGAAATGCAGCACAGAATTTAAAGAATATCCTTAGAGGTCATTCCTAAATTGTCATTTAGATTGTAACTCCATAATAAAGTGTTTAGATATTTTTAATTGCTTGCCAATTCATTCCAGGAACAACTAAATTACAAATCTTTTTGGATATTTTTTTAAAACTTGATTATTTTGGAAGAGCATAGATTCACATTCGCTCTTTTAAATGTCTTTTAGCCATGWTGTAAAAATTTACCTGATTTAATTCTCCACCAATTGTGTTTTAGATTTCATTTTTCAAAATGAAAGACTTGATACTGATCCTGTGCCTCCTGGAAATGAGTTTTGCAGTGCCGGTAAGTTTATCTTCTAGAGTATGCACTACATGGGTTCCTGATAGTTTGATATCAGGCAACACTGAAATGACATTGGCTAAGAGTCCTTACATGAACTCATTTGATTTAATTCATTAGTATAGATTCTACTGAATCAAAGCCATGCAGCTCACATTTCAGCTTTATTATCAAAATGCAATAAGTCCGTCACATATTTTTTCTATTCCAAACAATATTTTAAATATCCCAAAGACAATTTCTAAGTTTTATTTCATTCATTTGAAGTTAAAAGACTTAGGGGGCATCCACAATAACATGGCACAATTTTGTTATTAATTCCTTGCTATATCATTATGATATTTAATGGAAAGAGAAAATTTCTCTGAAAAAAAGTAAAGTATACTTCTTCATTTTAAAAAGGACAATATTGGCCAAATTACTTTGGTTACAAAACTAAGCTAGGTAATTCTAGTTAAAGTTAGTAATTAAGTAACAAATTTACCTTTTAGGGGTGAAATTGTGTGACAGAGAGCTGCAATTTCTCAAAACAGGTCGTGGCAATGGGGCTAAGTACATGTCATCTGATCCACATAATCATATAGGGTAAGGATCTCATACAAACATGATCTCTTGGAGCACTAAACTACTTCAATTAAGCATGCAATTCTGATATGTGAAAGACTTTATTCAGTTGCTATATGCATTAGCAATTACACACAGACTACATGCAATTACATGCACATACCATGCATCCAGCTATAAGGCAGGCACTGGAGACATGAAAATACATTAAGCCACGATCTCTTATCTTGAGGAGCTCATAGTTGGCCTCAAATGAGCTTCAGAATATTTTAATTCCTTGAGAGAAAAGGTTATAACTATTTGGGTTYCTTAAATGTTTTAAAGAGGATGAAAACCAATTATAAGAATGAAAATTTCAATTTCCACAATAAAAGTAGAATTTCTGTCCTATCATGCAAGATGAATTTTAAATGAAAGAAAAATTGAGGTTGCCACCCTAACTTAACTTTATATGGTACCAACATTASGGTCTACCTCAACTATCTATTACATTGATACTATGAACCTTATCTGATCTATACCTTAATCAATCAGGCCCACTCTGAGGAACAGGACAATTCCTTACAATTGTCCATCAAATCAGATATTCRTCTCCTTTTAATTCCTCATTGAAAATGTATTTTTATTTACATTTATGGAAATATTGTTCCTTAATTCATGCCTTGGAACATATAGAAATATATGTTCCAGAATATACTTATATTTTGTTCTGTAGTTAAACCTATCTGTGTTATTTGTATTCTGACCAATGGGAAGGAAGAGGACTGTAAAAAGAAGACTGTGTTCTTACAGTCCTCTCAAATTCTGAACAGTCTGCTRTATCATACATACTCATACCCATATAACACAGGTACTCACAATCATTCTTCCTATCTAAACAACTAACCTCCTTCTCTACCCAGAATGTTTGCTACACATTTATAATGTCCAAAACTAAATTATTTAGAAAAATTTTCACCACAACTCAGAAAGTGGGATTTTACTTACATGAAAAAGTAGGGAGTAAAATGATATGGGGTACAATTCCTGAACTTCTTACTTCTAAAGGAAAAAATAATCCCAATATATTTAGTAGACATTCCATAAATATATGTAGTACAAATGAAAGAAAGAAGGCATTCCTTGACACTAGAAATGTAAATATCCAAAGAACTAAAAACTTTAAAAATCCATTTACCCTAATTCCTACTCTTCTATTCTCCATTTTGTGCCYTGGTATTTGCACATATTAATATGTAAAAACATAAGGAAGGCTTAAAAAGGAAATAATTAAATTTTTAAACTAATTTCTGTAAATACAGCTATAATTTTAACAACTTTCAAGTGAACATATTGAGTATAATAGCACAGTACCTAGTGCTAGAATGCTTTTTATTTAAGGAAAACCAGCCTGGATGTGATTTAAGAATACAAAACACAGATCAACAGGTTGATAGAGTAATCATCCACTAAAGATGATAGAAAACTTGTTAAAGCCCTTTGAATGGGAAGCAAGTTAGGTCTTGCACATGATTTTTCTCAATGCCATAAACCAAAAATATGGAGGTTTGTTGAAATCACATGAAAATTCAGCTCATGTGTAACCCCTTTGCTTTTTATGTAATATTTTTTAAGAAATTTTGCTTTATCTATTTACTACTATTACTTCTATCTATTTTACTACTCTTTTGTTGCTTTACTTYTTATTGTGTTTAGCTTTAAATCAAATTTTGCTTTTAAAGTAACATAGGAGTAAGCTATGCACAAAAATAAATGATGCATAGGTAGCAAAATTATTAAATATTATGGTAATTCTCCTAAATAACTTAAATTCTTCTTCATTCTGTCCAAAATACCAATTCATTTGACTAATAAACCAATATGGTGGCCTCTCAGCTAGCCCTTATGTACTGGGGTGATTTTGTATTCCCAACATGCATTTAAGAAAGTTTCTAAGAGAACTCAAAATTATTCTTATTTCAATTTAGATGTTTCCTCAGCAACCTGGGGCACCAGGCATGGCACCTGGCATGGCTAGTTTGAGCCTTGAGGTATGTATTATTACTAGAGTTTGTATATATAATATTTACATTGGCATGTCCCTGATCATGGAGAAACATAATAAACTGTTTTTAGTTTTCCTAGTCAGAAGTCTGTGACTGTCATCCCGAGCAGTTCTAGATACGTTAGTGAGATTTATTAGAGCTTTATTCTATAATTCTGCAATTTTAAATTTGCAGGTGCTTTAAGCTTTCAAACATAATCTATATGTGAATCAAAGCAATAATTATAATTAATACCCTATATTATGTACACATTAATGTAATTATGACATTAATTAAAACACATTGCTCTATAGCAAAAATGGTTTATATTTAGCCATGCCACTTATAATTTCTTACATAATAAAGTTTTCATGAAGAAAACGTACCTGCACAAATTTATTTGTTCAAAAAAGTGCTAAAATCAGCATACTACAGGAAAACAGCCACATCAATATTTAATAGCTGCAAATTCACAATAGCTAAATTGTGGAGCCAGCCTAGATGCCCTTCAGTGGATGAATGGATTTAAAAAATGTGGCATATATACACAATGGAATTTTACTCAGCAATAAAAGAGAATGAAATCATGGCATTTGCAGGTAAATTGATGGCATTAGAGAAGATAATGCTTAGTGAAGTTAGCCAATCCCCCCCAAAAAAATGTCGAATGCTTTCTCTGTTATAAGGAGGCTGATTCATAGTGGGGAAGGGAGGGGGAACATGGCAGGAATAGAGGAACTCTAGATAGGGCAGAGGGGTGGAAGGGAAAGGGAGGGGCAGGGAGTTAGCAAGGATGGTGGAAAGTGATAGACATCATTATCCAAAGTACATGTATGAAGACACAAATTGGTGTCAACATACTTTATATACAACCAGAGATATGAAAAATTGTGCTGTATATGTATAGTAAGAATTGTAATGTATTTGCTGTCACTTATTTTTTATAAATAAATAAATAGCATTTGCATTGTACTATAATACCACCTATATAGCCTGTATTTCCCTTACTGCAGTTCTCATAAATAATATATGGTCTGATTAGACAACCCCCGAAACATAGAAACCTCTGACCATACAATAAAACATTTACAGCTATAAACAGAAATTTAGGAGTTCATAAATACCACAGTTTCCACAAGGCATTGCAAAATTTCCTTCTTTCATAACAATCTGAGGTCAGCCAGTAGGTATATGGGCTAGRTGTTTATCTCACATAGAAGCTCATTTCTTTGAAATTTTCTTCTCACTTTCAAGTTAAACTCATTAAAAAATCTTTTCCCATTAAAAAAGTAAAATTGACTTTTTGTGGATCTAGTCACATTCTTGATAATCTATCCAGATGTTTCTTCCAATGTATTTTATACTTACGTTTTTGAAGTCTTTTTTCTCGGGAAAAAGTTGAAGATTGGTTTGCTTTGTTTGGTGTGTCTATTTTTCCAAATTGTTTTTCAAATTGAATGTGTTTAAGATAAAGTAATTTAAGTAGGGGGAAAGATTTAATGAAGCAATATCCTCACAATTACACTTACATTTCAGTTGAATGAGCCATTTTTCCATGTTTAATGTGACCCACACACACACTTAACTGACACTCTTCCTCCTTTAATTAATGATAAAAGCAAGCTCATTTTTTATTAGAATAACAATAATGGCAAATCCACACTTTCACATGTACATCTCTCAGTATGATTTGGGTCTACTCATTTTTTTATTCAAGTTAACCCATCCCACACTTTATCTTGATAATGTTAAACATCATGAGAAATCAACTGGGTCAAAAGGCAGAAAATTATAGACATCATTATCCAAAGTACATGTACTAATGCAACAAACACTAATTTTATTTTATTTTTTTACTTAATAGACAATGAGGCAGTTGGGAAGTCTCCAGGGATTGAATGCACTTTCTCAGGTAATCATATTTTCAAAAATTTCTAATTCAGAAATTAGTGGTGGTGATGATGGTGGTAGCAACAGCACCATAATTCAAAAAAATTGCTTATGAATAGATAATATCCTAAATACTGAAAAAACAAATAAGTAACTGAGATTGCCAAAAACAAAATAAGGTGGGTGGCAGGGGAAAACAAACACAATATTGAATTTTCTTTAGTAAAAAAAAAATCCTGGGCTGGGGGTATAGCTTAGTGGTAGAGCTTTTGCCTACCACACAGGAGGCACTGGGTTCAATCCTCAGCATCACATAAAAATAAATAAATAAATAAAGGTATTGTGTCCTATCTACAAGTAAAAAAAAAATTAAATCCTTTTTTACATTATCGGTTTTATTATATAGCCCAAAACACATGTGCTTAAAAAGCTGAATCTTAAACAAATTTATAGCAATACTGCAGTCTTACCCAGAATGAAATTTTTGTCTGTTGGAAGAGAGAATTTACATTAACCAATGTTATTTTTACTTTTTATTTGTATTCCATAAGATTGAAATGTAAGTATGTTTGTTTTGTTTTTTTCTCCATGTTTATAGTTTTCTAGATTTGGCTTTGGGAAATCACTTAATTCTTTGTGGTTGCATGGTCTCCTTCCACCACATTCCTCTCTCCCGTGGCTAAGACCAACAGAACATGAAACTCAACAGGTAAGCATGAGTTTGTTTGAAATTTCAAGCTTTAAAATCTTTCCCCACTTGTCTTCTTTAAGTTATGTTATATTAGAAATAAGAAAACTAGCAATTTACCATTAATTATTCCAATACCAAATAAAATAAATCCTATAACAACTGTTATTAATTAGGAAATTTAAATTTTCAACCCATTTGCATATGTATTTCACATAGAAAGATAATGGCCTCCAAAATACAAAAGATCTGGGGCTTAGGTTGTGGCTCAGTGGCAGAGCACTTGACTAGCGCGTGTAAAGTACTGGGTTCGATCCTCAGCACCACATAAAAATAAATAAAGGCATTGTGTCCATCTACAACTAAGAAAAAATTTAAAAAAAAAAATACAAAAGAGCAATGTTAAAATTATTAGCAAGGATAATAGATAAACAATCCTTGGAATTAAAAACAGATTATAGTTTGGACTATTTTCATTTTAAAAAATTATCTAAATATAATTCCCAAAGGCTACTTTCAAATGATGACAAACATCCTTGTTAAAACACAACAAACCCTATAGAAGTCAATAAATATATCAATCTGTTAATCATTATTTGTTGGGTGCCTAACAAGTATAAAGTTAATCAAACTGTGCTTTGGGATAAAAATAAATACATTTTAGAATGACTCCAAGCTTATAACATTTCAAATGTTATGGGAGATAAGACAACATATTACAAGGTGCTAAACTGCATTGTAGAAGTAATAAATAGCATGAGAGTTTACACATGTGCAATGGTTGAAGAGGCAAAACAGAGCCAATTATTATTAGACTTCCATGCCAGTTTGAGGAATTTGTAACTAATCTACAAGAAATATGGAGCCACTCAGCACAAGTAATTTCTAAAAGAATCAAACAAACATGGTGGTTTTGACAGTATCTTTTAATTCCAGATGGTCTTCCTCATCAGGAGCATTATACGACAGTCCACATTTAGTAGTCAATAAATTATGTTAATGGTGATTGTTTCTTCACTTGAGTAATTTTTCCAACATGAACTTCATGATGAAGGTATTTGATGTGTATTTTATTTAGTTAGCTCTTATCTTTTCATTAACTCACAATTTATTAAGTACCTACCATGTGCCAGACACTTGTTAGGAACTAGGTTAATATGTTAAATACAAGAGCTATAAAGATAAAATGCATTATTTTGTCTCAGTTACCAGGAGACCAAAGATTTATGACAAATAATTATAATGCAGTGAAAGTAGTAAAATAAAAATACACATAGGTAGTCATAGCACCCAGAGGAGGAAATGAATGATTCATTCCATTAGGAAGTTCAAGTAGCTTTCCATCTCCCAGAGCAATGTTTATCCCAAAGGAGGTAGAAGAAACAAACATACCCAAAATTTCTTCAAAAAAAATCAGTTCTGCTTCCTATGTAAATACTGCTTTAAGTCCCCTAACATTCCTTCCAAACAAAAACCACCCAAGTCTTTTGCTGTAGAAATTCTAGGCACCACATCCCTTCCTGACACTCTTTTCAAATTTTTCTACAGTATGAATATTCTTTGCCTGTGCATCCCCCACCTCTCCCATCACAGCCATCCCTGCAGCCTCAACAGTCAGGACTGAAACCTTTCCTCCAGCCCACTGCTGCAACCGCTATCCAGGCAACAGCCCAGAAGGGTGGTCCTCAACCTCCAATGCATCCAAGACAGCTGCCCCTGCAGGATGGAGAACCGCCAGCAACTGAGCAAGAGGTGGCACCAACAGAGAAACCACCAACATCTAAGGTAATTCTTTTCTCTACATTCAGATCAGGATCACCTACTAACCTAATGAAAGAAAACTAATTAGCTGGCCAATTCTAAAAATCGCAGCCTTCAGAACTAATACACKAAAATATAAATGTTATTGATCAGCCTTTCATTTTGAGGACTATTTTTTAAGTAAAACATAAATATTCATTTGTACCCTTTACCACCAGAGATAAGACACATTCAAAAAAATATTCTGTGCTTTTAAAACTTGGCTTCTTAGTTGCAAAAGGTGAAAGTTTTCATAGGATACAGGGCAGCCCAGAGAAGTCCAGGCAATCTACCATCATTTTTTCATTTGTTAGAAAGACAGAGGAGAGGATTAATCCTTCAGCATAACAAGTAGGATCTTACATTATCGCCTCTCTGCAGAGATGAAAACCAAAAGTACAAAAGTACCTTTAATAAAGTATCTTTTTTAATTGATTTATTTATTTTTGCATTACAATTCTTAATATGCCATTATAACATAATTTATCTTATCTCTGATAAAGTATCTTTAATAGAGAAAAAAAAGCAATGGACAGGAAAAAAAGGAAGATATACCATGTAACTATTATGCTGGAGGTATTTAACATTCTCCCATTGTCTCCCTGCCTACAATCTAGAAAGATAGATATACAACATAAAGGTCATATTATAAAATATATATATGATCATCCCTTTTAATAACTATAAAGATAGATATGATTATCCCTTTTAAGGACAAGATAGACTTAAAGAAATTACAGAATTTGGCCAGGATTACATAAAATCAAAGTGGCAGAGCCAGAATTCAAACCAAGTATGTTCCAATTCCAAAATTCATTACTTTTTATTCTGCAAGATATAGCAAATTCTGGCTAGACAAACACACACAATAAAATTTAAAGGAAAAGTGAATTTTAGATCTAGCAAATTGTCCTGCCAGGACACTTGAGTCACATTAGTAAAAGACAATTGTAAATTCTTGCGTCATCCCCTCAAAAGACTAAAAAAAAATAAAAGAGAGAAACATATTTTAAATTGTTTTATTGTAATCGTAAATAAGTGTCTGTTCAGTTTGTTGATTTTGACTGGTAACTTTAATCCTTATCTATGATATAGCTCCTGGTAATGGATTTTGCTGGTCCACAGGTTCCATCAGTAAGTATAGATTTCACTGAGATACTTTCCTAGGAAAAATATATCTGTATTTCAAAAAAAATTTAAYGAAATTTTTAATTGTTCCATTTGTCCATAAATATGAAGTATTATGGGTTCTGTTGTTTCCTGAAACGTTAAGTACCAATTCTTCATAGTAATCCATCTGAAAATGTATTTCATATAATTCTTATATATTACTGTAGTGGGATTTGCCTATGTAAATTATTTGTTTTATTTTTTACCACTTAAAGTTGTTCCATATAGCCCGTGTGATATCTCGGGGACCACTGCCACAAAACAAACCATCTGCAGTAAGTTTGTTTGTTTTTAAAATACAGCTTCTCTAAGTGTTTGCAATTTGATTTGAAAGTTCTTTCCTTGGAAAAAGCATTTTGTGATAACCATTTTATTTTGTGTAGCTTTATCCAGGAATGTTTTACACATCTTATGGAACAAATCAACTGGTAAGTTCATATTCTATTAAAAGTATATTTAATTAAATATCATCTTGAGGGCTAAAATTATAAAAAGCCAGACCTCACACAAGATATTGCAAATAAATATTCTGTAAGTGCCTACATTATCAACTGAAATGGTAAGGAGGCACAGTTCCCTATTTGGATAATTCTGGCCAGACACAACAATTAGCATTAAGGAAAAGTGAATTTTAGATCTGACAAATTGGCTACATTTTTTCAAGAATGACTGGACTTTCTGCTCTGTCCCTGGATACTGCATTAATATTAAGCCTTAAGGAAATGCTAAATGACTTTTAACTTTGTTTTAGTAGATAAGAAGGTAATAAAAGGCAGCTGGTTCATAATATGATGCACTGTTTCTCTTCGAACAGAATGCTCCTACCAGACTTGGCATGATGAGTTCAGAAGAAATGGAAGTGAGTAATATCTTCTAACTCTTCTTGAAATAGTGACCAAGAAATAACAGTCATAGATGACTAGCTATAAAAGACACTAACCATGAAAGTAGTCAAAAGATCACAGGACTTAGATTTTTCTACTCCCAAACCAGAAGCTTGACTCTGAAATAGTACCAAAGATTTCATCGCATTTCCTATAGAGGAATTCCTATGTTTTTAAATTTTTTCTTATAGTTGTAGAAGGACAGCATGCCTTTATTTCTTTGGTTTTTTTATGCAGTGCTAAGGATCGAACCCAGTGCCTCACACATGCAAAGCAAGTGCTCTGCCACTGAGCTGCAGCCCTTGCCCAGGAATTCTTATATTTTTTAATGATAACCATTCTTGAGTGTAGGGTTCTGCCTCATTCTTTGTGTATGATCAGAAAAGACACCTCTCCTGAAAGGGCATCAGCAATGAACTGCAAACACTTTAAAAAAAAAAAAAAGATATATGCAGTTCATACACAATCCTTTTCTTTCTAGGATTATTTAATCTCCTAAACACTCAATTCAATAGCAGCAAAAAATAATTCAGATCACAAAATTAAAAGATCAAAAAGGAAAAGAAAATTAGCCAAGTTTAAAATTTGATTATTATAAACTTTAAAGTGCCTAAGTCAAGGATAGTATATTCTTATATTCACATCCACATATGAAGAGTACAGTTCAATATTTGAAATCAATAAACCCACACATCTTAACATTTTTTTCTCAGAAATTCCTGTTACATATTTTAACAAAGATAACAAAGCAAAAGTTATATTAAATTAACAAGGTATTGTCAACTATATATACTATCAAATTAATAAATATACACAAATGCTGTCACTAAAAGAAAACTCATAGCTCAACATTTTTGAGTGCTTTTTGTTTGCTATATGCATAGAAAGATACCATAAATAAGATAAATAAGATTCCTGCTTTACAGAATGAATAGAAAAGACAAGCACAGTGCAGATAATGTGAAATTCCTAGGATAAGGGCAGTCACTGTCTTATTAAGGAAAGAAAGAAGAAAGGAAATATAACTAACCCAGACCAAGGATTCCCACCAAGAGCTGAGACTCAGAACAGAGTCAGAGAAGGCAGAAGTAAAGAGTGTTGAATCTATATAACATGAACACAACTGGCTGCAAATTAAAAATTCAAATTAAGTGCTAATTACCATCTTATACTATCAATCAAGTTATTTATATTCTGACTCATTCCCAAGAGATTTTGTAGTGGCTTATGAAAAACACACAATAAAATAGCCAAAGAAAATTGAAGGTAGGATTTAAAGTGAGTCAAAACTGTAAGGAAATGAGAATACAAACATGAGTCACACATTGCTGATCACCACAAACATCCCAGATTACCTTGTAGTAAAGGTAGAAAAGAAACATGATAAGTTATGGAATTCTATTTTAGTTCCTTCAGACAAATCAAGCTTTTTTAAAAATTATACTTGGTTAGAGGAAAGGAGAGAAGGAAAGAAAAATTCTTACATGGGGCTTCATTCATTTGGGGAATACTTTGAAATGCCATTGACAAGATCTTCCAAAACATTCTTCAACAAACACAGTTATGGATTTCAGTTCTTGTTTGTTTTCTGATGGTTGTAGCCATTTCAGCTGTTTGTTGTTTTCTTAAAATTAAATTCAAACTAACTTTTTCTTTCTTCTGCCCTGTGCCTGCTGCTCTCCTCACCCTCCAGCCAAGCATGGTAAGGAGACTCTATCTACCTTTCACAGAAGTTGCCTTCCCCCACTTAGATATGTGCAGAATCCTTTCTATTATATTTTAAAGCTAGTTCAATGAGAAATACGTTTACACAAAGCTGTCAGCCAGTTCCCTGTTCTCTATCAATTTTTTCCTAAATTCTTAGAGACTATGATCAGGTATAATYGCGTGACATTGCTAATAGAATGTACTAACGGTTTCCTTGATAAATGTTGGTTTTTCCAGGGAGGAAGAGGAGGCCCCATGGGCTATGGAGCCATGTTCCCAGGATTTGGAGGCCTGAGGCACAGCCTTAGGAGAATGTCTCCCAATCCAGCCATGGGTGGAGATTTTACTCTGGAATTTGACTCCCCAGCGGGAACAAAAGGTCCTGAGAAGGGAGAAGGAGAGGCACAAGCCTCCCCCATGCAGGAGGCCAACCCAGCCAATCCAAAAAACCCAGCACTCCTTTCACAGATAGCACCTGGTGCTCATGCAGGACTCCTTGCTTTCCCTAACGACAACATTCCCAACCTGGCAAGGGGCCCTGCAAGGCAGAGAAAGGGACCCCTCGGGGTCACTCCATCAGCTGCTGACCCACTGATGACCCCTGAATTAGCTGAGGTTTATGAAACCTATGGTGCTGATGTTACCACACCCCTGGATACAGGAGAAGCAACCATGGATACCACAATGACCCCAGACACTCAGCAAACATCAATGCCAGGAAACAAAGTCCACCAACCCCAGATGGTACATGATGCATGGCGTTTCCACGAGCCCTGAAAACCTTGAGATATCAACTACTTTCTGTATGCACAAGCTTCCCAGTTTTGTCCCCACAGTCTACCTTTTTGCTAAAACACTTAATACCTTCTACAGCAAAGGCATTAAACACGCTAAGCATGTATTAATAAATACAAGTGGCTAGAAATAGTGTAGGTTCCCTTCTTGCTTTCATTCTCTTATTGAAATAAAATGTGTTGACTGTCTCTGTGATTTAGAAATACTATTAACAGCAAGTCTAAGAGTCTCAGCATTTGATAATCTTGTTTCTTAACTCTCTTCAGCATTATAGGATTTCTCCTACTAGCATGACACTATTATATCCAGGAAATGCAGCACTGCTTTCTTTTTTCTAAGCAAGAAGCACATAGTCTCAGAATTCAAAGCTGTTTCATTTAAACTTGATTAAATTGGAATGCGTAAAGAACCTCTCCCTGGTATTACTGGGTTTCATACATTGGATTTTAAATTCTCATTTTTAGAGTATTTTATTTAATCTAAAATAATTAGCCTATTTTAAATAAAGATTTTTTTCTCATTGAAAATATGAGGAATTGTATGCTTATTATTTACATATTTGAGCAGTTAAGAAAAGCATACTCATCCCTTACCTTTGCTAGTCATTAATTCATTTTATTCAATTCATTTATTTTTTTTCAAAGTTTAACTGAATATCTACCTAAGTCCTACACAGTGTGCAAGGCATCAGGCATACAGTCCCTTCCTTCAAAGATAACAAGGGGCATGATTGAAATGTAGATAGAGATTCACAATGTTGATTTAAAAAAACAACCACTCTAAGCCAAGATCAGCTACTTTACATATATTTTCTCACATCAATATTGCAAAATAGATACCCTCAACCCTATAGTACACATGAAAAGTGCTATGAAAAGACCAAGCACAAAGTGCTCTTTGAAATCACAGAGAAGAGACACCTAATCCAGCATAAGTGGCATGGAAGACTAGGAGGAATCAGACAAGTATTCTCAGAACAGTATCAAAAACTGCAGAACAAAGTCTCCAAGAAAAAGAAATACAAGAAAAGACATGGAATGAGTTCAATCCTATGAAATATAATATAGGAAAGGAGGTATAGAAAGTGACCCTTGCTTGTGACAAAGGTCTGATATGTATATGTATGGAAAATATGCCTAAATTAAGAGATTATAAATCCAGATTTGGTTATCCCTGAAAATTAGCCTCCTATTCTACTCTCTCCACTTTCTACTAAGTTGCCCAACCCATTCTTAGATTCCATGGAACTCAGACTCTCCTCCATTCCCTGATGAAGACTTTAGGAATACAACCAAGGAAAAAGATCCCTGAGATGCTTCCCAACCTGGCATACTTCAGGAACCCTAGCAGGAGCATGTTGCCACAACTTACCGCCTTCCTCTTTTTAGGCAGGGCTCTGTTCTCCCCACTAGAGCTAGAAGAGAGATGCAGAAGACAAAAACTCAATTTACCTATCTTGGTGACTCCAGCAAAGGTGAAAAAGCAGGAGAATGACTTCCATAGTAGCCAACAGATACTCACTTAGACCCATTTTAGACTACCAAACAGTGTCCAAAAAAAACATGGTAAGAGATATACTGACAGATTTGTGTTCAAACCTAGACATCACACCTGAAAATCGATGAGCCTTTAGATGTGAAACTTAATCTGTGTGTGTGTGAGTGTGTGTGTGTGTGTGTGTGTGTGTGTGTGTGTGAGAGAGAGAGAGAGAGAGAGAGAGAGAGAATGATTTCTACAGTGGGGCTACTATCTGGCTCACAGGGTTAATGTAAGAATAATATGAAATAAAGTACACAGATGAAATTACTGAATCATAACAGTGACCTTCTTTTCCAGCTGATCCATTTCATAGCAAAAATGGATTATTCCCATAATCTAATGAATTTGTGTTTTTCCATGAACACTATACACATTGCCCTTTTGGTCCTTCTTTATAATTCATATCATGCATTTGTGAGACCACATATGCTGGCAAATGTTGTAATATCAAGGGCCAAAATTTGCTTCTGCTATTAGTAGGCTGGGAGCCTAACAGTGGTAAAAGCTCAATCAATTTTGGTGAGGAGTAGTATCATATAGAGCCCTTGAATGATCTCTCTCCCCAACACCACAATCATTTCAAACACTAGCACATTGAACAGACAACAAGGTAGCCAGAGAAAGAGGCTAAATATCACTATCAGAGACATCTTAATTATTGAGCATTCCCTCTAGCAGACATTTTCATGAGAAAAAAAATATCCTCATACAATGTCCCATCCTGAGAGGCCCATACAAATAGACTTTTTTCTGGACCCTCCTTACCACCAATCTTCCAATTTTATTCTTTCCAAATCCCTGGTGACTGATATGGAGTACCCTGATTAAGTATAATTCTGTACCTCAGATCATCTCTCTTTCCACACAAAATTAAAAAACAAGATACACCATTTAAAGTTCTGCCCCTTGAGTACATTGACTTTGCACTTTCAGCTGATTCCACACTACCCAGGCAGAAATCCATCAGACAGGAACACATTCTTTCCTCTCCATAAACTGGTTGCAGGAAGGGTGGCCATATAAGTTATTCTCTACTGGGACATTTTTGACAATGAAAAGAAGTGTCCTCAATGATTATGCTGGACAACAAGTATAAACTAGTACTACCTAAGACAAACCTACTACCTGGTTATTCTAGTCTCATGAAACTCCTATGACACAAGAGTAGATTGAAGAAAAGTCATCAAAATTATAAATAATAAAAAATGTGGAAGTCTGAACAGTTGCTTCTGCAATTTAATTATGCCCTCCAGACCAGGTGTCATATTTTATCATTTCCACTGTTGTCATTTATGTTCATTTTTACTATGATTCAGTGAATCATATACCAACTAGTCCAAGATGGGTATGTCAGACGGAAAAATCACTTGACCTCCCATTGTCTCTATTCTATTAGAGTCTAATAAGAAAAAAAAGCAATAATTACTTTTCACAAAGAAAACCTTAAAGTTCTATGTTTTTATTCTCCTTTCATGGTTTTTCATAGATCCTATACTGCTACAGATACTTCTAACAAATTGGAGTCTTGTGGGCCATAATGCTCAAGTGATAGGAAAGCTTAGGCTGGATCTTTTTCATGCTTTACGTCCTACTCAAAATTGTCAGCCTTTCAAGTTATACAGTATGTGATATATGTTGTTTTCAAAACACAGAGAAATCCAAGAAGCACTGCACTTCATTTTTTGTATAGGATAATATAAGAAACAACAACTTGCCAACAACTTCTGCTCTCCCAGTATGCCTCAAACTACCCCTAGAAATGCCATCACAGTCCACAGTCCACAGACTTCCACAGTATTTATGTTCCACCCTATGACTTTTTACTCCATGTTAATCAAATCCTGTTGCATTAAGTCTTCAATGCCTGGACAGTCATGAATGTCCTCTGGAATATAAAAATGATCAAGTACCCTCAGGACCATATTAGGACAAACTGCAGGATAGTTGATATAATCCTAAAGCAAAACATTAAAAACTGGTATTGTTTGTATACTTTACAATCAAACTGCTTCTGATTTTTATTGTGGATTGGAATAGGAAAAAAAAGCATCTGCCAGATCAATAGATATATACAAATGCCATGGGCTACATTATTTGCTCCAAGAAGGTTACATCTGCAAATACATCTGCAACTGGCAACACTACCTGATTGAGTTTGAAACATTCCAATKTAACACCCCATAATCCATTTAGCTTTTTACCAGTCAAATAATGAGTTATATGGGGAAGTGTTAGGACATATTTCACTGTATCTCTCAAGTCTTCCATGTTAACACTTATCTCCACATTTCACCCATAGTACTTACTACATTGTTAGGAACAAAGAAGAAGGAGTATAGTTCCAGGGGCCTCCTTCCACTTGTCCCTTCCCACTACAGCTTTCATTCAACTGATGAAGGAATCACTGTGGAATCCTGCCAATTAGTAGGTACAACTATTCTTACCATATATTCTGGGACTAGGGAAATTACCACATGATAGATCCACAAGATCCACTGTTAGATGAATAAGAATCAAATTTCCATCTCTAATATGACTTCTATAAGCATYAATTAGTAAACTATAAAGGCTTTTAAATTCATAACCACTATCTAATAACCCACAGAAAGCCTGGGTATTTTCCTTCTCCATCCCACCCTACACTGTATCCTAGTAAATTGTTTCGGGACCCTCTAGAGAAAGTTTCAGGAAATTTGGTGATGCACATATATGGCCACATTACAAGGTCCTCCCTCATAGGGATCTGATATCCCCCAGTTGAGGGACTCCAAATCTGAAAATTGGATAAGAGACTATGAATCCCACTATGATAATTTGAATTAGGTTCAGTGAACCTAGAATTTTTTTTAACTCAAACAGCWCTGTAACGGATTGTTCATCCATTTTTTTCTAGAGTCCTGTGACCAACTAATGATCCAAACAGAACACTACTTGTCAAATATCCTGATTATCACTCCATCCTAGTTCAGAAAGAACTATGTTATGGGGACTAGTCACCACTGCTGGGCCAAGAAGTCGGGGACATATCCTCAGATGCCACATCTCTTCCTTGGCAATAGCCCCACTACCACCCAATTGGTAGATTCATGTGACCTTTTAATGATTGAATAATGTCAAAAAATGATCCAAAATTAAAAGTGACTTCTCTATCAAGCAGTAGAAAATTTTTCATACCACCATCCAGTAGCTGAATTCAGTTTGGGGCAGAAGTAAAACAAGTGAAACAGAAAACTGAAGATAAGAAAATCTCACTTTGAAACTATCTTTCTCCTTGACTACTCCTCATCCCCTATCTTTCTACTTGTTTAAATTTTGTTCTGAATTTATAAATAKTGAAGACCAAAGAAATAGAACACACATTTAGGAGCTTTATACTGAAAAATTGCCTTGAAACCTGCTATTCTGTGGGGGTGAAAGTATCAAGTTTCTGTCTGATTCTTTTC